GAAGAGGACCTTAAGAGCCTCTTGGTCAGATTGAAAGAGGAGAGCGCAAAAGTGGACTTGAAGCTCAACATCAAAAAAACTAAGATCATGGCATCCGGCCCCATCACTCCTTGGCAAATAGAATGGAAAGTCGTGGAAGTAGTGACAGACTTCACGTTCCTGGGATCCCAAATCACCACAGACTGTGACAGCAGCCATGAAATTAAAAGATGCCTGCTCCTTGGGAGGAAAGCGATGGCGAACCTAAACAGCATGATAAAAAGTAGAGACATCACCCTTCCAACAAAAGTCTGCATGGTCAAAGCAATGGTATTCCCAGTAGTCATGTATGGCTGCGAGAGTTGGACTATAAGGAAGGCTGAGCGCCGAAGAATAGATTCTTTTGAACTATGGTGCTGGAGAAGACTCTTGAGAGTCCCTTGGACTGCAAGAAGATCAAATCAGTCAATCCTAAAAGAAGTCAACCCTGACTGTTTCCTGGAAGGCCAGATAATGAAACTGAAGCTCAAATACTTTGGCCACCCAATGAGAAGGGAGCACTCCCTGGAGAAGACCCTGAGGCTGGGAAAGACTGAAGGTCAAAGAAGACGGGGACGGCAAAGGATGAGATGGTTAGACAGTGTCATAGATGCAACAAACATGAAGTTGAGCCAACTTCAGAGGATGGCGGAGGACCGGAAGGCCTGGCGAGATCTGGTACATGGGGTTGCGAAGAGTCGGACTCGACTGTGCAACTGAACAACAACAACAACAACAACGGCATTGTTTTAATGAGTTGTTTTGGTGATTTGATTGCTTTAATTTGTGTTTTGGTTTGTGTAAGCCGCCCTGAGCCTGCTCTGGTGGGGTAGGGCGGGATATAAATTAGAATATAAACAAACAAACAAAAGATCTTGGTGCCGGAGACCGAGCAGGTGGCAGAACGGTCTGTTTTTCCACCGTCAATTCCTACCTCCTTTGCAGGTCCTGGTGAGGGCCTGCCTGAGATATTCTGCTGCCCCCAGGAAGGGCTCCGTTCCCTCCTGGGACTGCCTGCCTCCAGCCAAGACCAAGCTAAGTCCCTCTGGCATTCCGGCAGGGGTGCGGCTTAGACCCAGGCAATGGCCATGTGGACCCAGGAGTGGGTACCAGTCTTTTTGTGCACTGCCAGGGGCAAGACCGCCAGTGGAGCTTCAGTACCAGCCTCACTGTGCCAGGGTTGCCAGGTCAGGGTTGGGAAAGACCTGGAGACTTTGGGGGTGGAGCCAGGAGAGGGTGGGGTTTGGGGAGGGGAGGGGCCTCAGCATGGCACAATGCCACAGAGTCCACCCTTCAAAGCAGCCCTTTTCTCCAGGGGTTAGAAAGGAAACAAAGAACCGTAATGTATTGTGCCCCCCCCCAAGTCTTCACAGACTTGAAAATTCTTTTCCCAGTATTCAGTTTACTTGAAGCAATCCAAGCTGCCCAATTACGGGCTTTAGATGTGTATAAGTGAGCAGGAAGAGTAGATTTACATTGCACAAATGGGTTTGATGAGTGTTACTGGGAGATACGACTAGAGTGTTTGCCAAATGGATTAATATCATGTAGGTATTTCAACGCTACCCACTTTGATAACGTTAAAAACAAAATGAGATATAATATGCATGGTTCATTGGTGTCGATGGCGTTTCGAGTGGCTTCCAGTAAACGGAATATTAGGGAAATAATTTTCAAGTCTGTGAAGACTTCTTATTTTTATTTCTTTGGCACTATACATCACAGTTGTTTGTTTCCTGGGAGAACCAGGTTTGATTCCCCACTCCTCCACTTGCACCTGCTGGATGACCTTGGGCAAGCCATAGTTCTGATAAGAGCTGTCCTTGAAAAAGAGCCGTTTCTGTCAGAGCTCTCTCAGCCCCACCTGCCTCACAGGGTGTCTGTTGTGGGGAGGGGAAGGGAAAGGAGTTTGTAAGCCGCTCTGAGACTCCCTTGGGTAGTGAAGGG